CACCATCCCGCTGTGCTGCTCTGGGCTCCCAGCCGTGGCAAACCCAGGTGCTTCCTAAGGGTGTCACACCTGGCAGTGCACTATGCCAACTCCCCGACCCTAAAAGATCTTACCAGTTTTTCCCTTTGCCGGCACAACCACGCTCAGGAGAGCCACCTCTGTGGGCAGGGGCAGCGTCATAAACTGGCCCAAGACATTCTCTTTTGGGGACACAGGGTGATGTGATGAGGGGAATCAACAGTTTGCTGCAGACACAGGTGAGGAGTAACAGGGTTTAAATTGCAAAGACATTAGGAAACATCTTAGAACAGACAGTTAATTATGTGAGTAGATTGCCTGGGGTAGCGCTGGAGTCTCCATCACTGGAGACTGTTAAGAACAAGCTGGGTGGGCATCCTCTGGGGGGAGTTTAGGTGCTATGGGCCTCATCGTGGAGCAGAAGGGTGGAGCACAGCACCACTCTACCACACAAGTCCCAGTGATACTGGAATAAAATTTGCAAGAACCCCAAACAACAATAGTGCAGTGCTCCAAGGATCTGCCATGTGTCCTGTGGCACAGGGTGGATGTGGGTTGCTCATGGTTTCTTAAATATTACTCTTCCCTTAAGTCATTCTAAGTAGCTGAACATGATGGTGCTGACTGGACCAGCTTCATTGAAGACCCTGAGGCTGCAGGGTGGTATATGAGTTGTGTGGGAAGCCACAAGGCACAGCAGAGAGCCAGAAGACAGGGTCCTGACTGCTATGCCTGGCTGTACCCATACATCCAGGTGCCAGGGTGTTGATCCATGGCTGTCCCAGAGGCTTTGGTGGTGGGACTGGATCACAGAGCAGTTGTGTGTCTCCTGTCAGTGAGCTATAGTGCAGAAAAAGGCTCAGCAGACAGAAGAGACCAACCCATGGCAAAACCACTAAGAAGCACTGAAACCCTAAGTGCCAGTGGGTTCTGCCATTGCTCATCACATTGTGGCTTTTCAAGCAGTTTTCCATGGCAAAACAGGAGCCCCATTCACCCCCCTGCCCAGACACCACAGGGCTCATCTCCCCAGTCTAATCTTGCAAAAGAAAAGGAGGAAAAACCCAGCTAGCTCTCAGTCCGCACTCCAGGTTTCTCCTGAGATGGCCCCTGGAGGACAGCTCTACACATCCAGACTGGGAGGGTCCTGAGCTGGAAACAACAAGAGGCCAGAAGAGTGCTGGGAACATGTAGTATGGGCATACCCTCTTCTTCCTCTGGTGTTCATTTAACAGTTGTACATTGAGTATCATAAAAACCTGTACTTGCCCACCTGATTTGTGGCACATAAGGTTTAGCCAAGTGTCCAGCAGCACCTGCTGAA